GCCTGGAACAGGCTAAATGCGTACATTATGCTAACACAGGCAAGAAACCTGTTCAGTTACCCATAAAAACGTAAATGAATCTCCATGCCGAATTACGGTCAACATGAATGTGTATTTTCACAGATAAAAAGCAGTCTTGATTCTCTCAGAGAGAAGTTTTGTCCCGACTTTGATCTCAAAGCCGAGTTGGAGAAAGGACTGGTACCCTCACCCCCAGGCTCCCCGACACGCAAAAAAAGCCACAGGTACATATGACGTCATCTTTTTATTCTGGTGAAGAATACTGAGTAAGTTGCTTATCGTGTTGTTTCTTGTTATTTAAGAGCCAAACGAAAGTACGATCCGCTGATATCTGGTCAGCGAAAAGATTACAAGAAAATGAAAACAGGTTTGTAACATGTTTTAGTTTGCTACAAAAACAGAGTAGTCCGATGTCAGGTCTTTATAGATCCTACGTTCTTCGGCATATTCATTTGCGGTCCTTGGCAGTCCTTTGTGGTTAATGTTTGTACTAGTCCGATGGTAATGCATGGCTTACACCAATTCCGTTTCCTAGCTGTTTAAGCGCTGTATGCGAGGATGAAAGAGATGGGCCCCCTTCTCTAATGTCCTTCGATCTCAATTGTTTACGAGCTGAAATGCGCCTTTCAAACTGTATGGTTATGTTGTGATTTATTTTCTGCTTTTCTAGCTCCTTCAGTGCCAATGCGAGGTGGCGGCCGCGGAATGAGAGGCATGGGTCGAGGACGTGGCAACCCACGTATGAATGACATATTTAGGTCACGTAAACAAAACACGAGCCGCCCACCCTCTATGCACGTGGACGACTTCATGGCCATGGAGCATGCTAAGACCCAGGACTCCCCGCCTATGAGAAGGCCTGGTCCCAAGGTAGGAGAAAAGACTAAAAAATATGCAATATTTCTAGTGTTTTGACAATTGTAATTATAGAGTTATTTTTTTTATATTTTTTTTTCCCAGGGCCCTCCTATCGGGCGATCGATGGATCATGGACCTGGGGGCTTTATGGATAACCAGGGCCGTTGGACAGGAATGCCCGGCGGACCTCTCCGAAAAGGTACCACTGGGACATTTCAACCTGTGACCTCTAGACACAGTCCTAATTGTCCATCTGTTTTCTCTACCTTTTAAGGTCCTAATATGGAAAATCAAGGAGGGATGCGCGGGCCTGGGTCCGAGTGGGGTAATCCTCGACAATACCCTATTGGATCGTTTCCGGGTCAAAGGAACTTCCAGCGAGGGTAACAGTTATGCTTACATTTACAATGATTGTGTAATGATCTTTCGGTGTATCAGGACAAGTCGTCGAATAGTATCAAAGTGCTACAGCGGTAGAGGTGTCCACGGAAGTCTCGCTTAATTTTTTTTCAACGACAGTGCATACGGTGCGTTTACGGGGAAGCTTAGCCCGTGAACGGTGAATCAAATATAAACATTGAAATGCATGTGAACAAACTAAAACCTTGCCGGCTTGCTAAGGCTCAGACTCAACCAGAGTCAAAAAGAGTTCAGAAAGATGGTGAGATCAGTGTGTTCGATAGACAAGGTAAATAAAAAATAAACAGAGTAAAACTTTGCGGATATTGCACAAAGATGACCCGTTTAACTTTGCGCAAACATTTTAGATCCTACCGGAACCCGGGACCGTTAAACATGATGCTGGGGATTCTCACATTAGCTTTATTTTTTCTTTTCTTTCTTTTAGACCTATGTGGGGCTCTCAGACTCCTCAGCCGTACAGAGGTAACCGCTTTGTAACAGCTCCCAGCTCTGAAATTCGCCACTATAGAAACGAGGAAACTGGGCCCGACTGACGTTTGCAAAGACTTCTGGGACTGTTACTACCGGCGCGGCCCCAGTAACGATCCCAGAAAACATTGTGCGACGCATTTCGGCCCCAGTTCTCTTCGTTGGTAAAGTGGCGATGTCACAGTGATATGGGCATCCCCATTCCCAAAACCCTAGTGATATAGGCGTCCCTTGTAACCCTAACCCCAACCCTAACTCTAACCCAAATCGCTAAGGTAATATGAGAAAGGGATGCTCATATCACTAGGGTTTTGGGAATTGGGATGCCCATATCACTGTAGTAGCGAATTACAACAGTCTGATGTTAAGCATGTCAGACGTTGAACCAGGTGTTCGATTGCTGAAATCATGTTTCACCGCTACATTGTGTTAGTGCTGATAGACAACTTCAATTCAATCCACTCGCACCACGCGCGATTCATTTGGATTAACAGGTAGAAAACGGTTCAGTCAACTCGTCTCAGAAGCTCATTCCGTAATAACCTACTGGATAGTGGATATATTTAACTCTGGGTAAAGGGTTTTCTTACTTTGAGGAATTGAAGTCGCGTGTCGTGAAAAAAGATTAACAACATCCTGAGACGTGAGGAGGGAGAATGTTGTGTTAGGGGGTTGTTAGGAGTTGTTAGTCAGAAGCAGAAGCTAATCCCAAGGCCCTATCCCAGCATACATCCGAACCTTTCCATAACAGCCTCCTTACAAACAGACGACAGAAACAGCTGGTCACCGCAGGGGCTTAAAAACATCGTCGGGACAATAAGATGGGAATGTTGTGGAGAGCTGACCGTTATTAGAGGTTCGAGTGTATTTTGCCTGTTTGGTTTTGTTTAACTTTTTAAGACCCGTTCTGACTTGTTATGCGCCGTGATTCTCTTGGTAGTTATTTTTAATGTTTAAATGACAGGCGGAGGTGGTGGAGGAGGAGGAATGAGAGACTACAATCGACCACAGATGCGAGGATACTGGGACGCACCTAAATCCAAAGACGATGCCAGGTCAGTAGATTTACTCTCGTCCTCTCATCCGCGGTATTTGACAGTTCATTTCATACGTGATCTACTGCCATTTGATATATTAAATTATTCTTGGCTTCGAGGCTTGTGGAAATTCGTTACTTTAGAAACGAGAGGGAACTGGGCGGAGTTAACTTTCGCAAATGCTTCTGGGATTGCTGCCAGGGACAGGGAAAAAATTGGCCAATAGCTGACTGGCGCGTCCTCAGTTACGATCCCAGAGACAATTGCGGGACGCTCAAGTTGCCTTATTGTTTATAAAGTGGCGAATAGAACAAAGGAAATAGATTATTCATCCCTCAACCTGAAGGCGATTTCTTTTGCTTTATTCCCCCGAGCCTCGGAGTCGAGTATGAATTTTATATTTGAAAATATATCAGAGGTTGCCTGTTGGAGATAAGAGAGAGCTGTAGGTCAAGTCAGGCTTCTGGTTATTTTTAGCAGCCCATGCAATAAGCCCCTTACGAGTTCCAAAAACCTTCACTTTCAAAATGAGGCCAAGAGCACAGCCTTTCTTGTGAAAATGAGGTTTATTTGCATAAGAATGAAAAATCATTTCCACATCAAAGGCTGAGCACTTAACCTCGTTTTGATACAGAGACCCGGAGGAACTCGGAAATGGCGTATTAAACTGGCACCAGAACTTAAAAAAATCAAGGAATGAATGACTAAAACCGTGGCCCTCTCTAACTTTTTATTTCTAGGTTTATGCCTCCCCCGAATGTTGGTGGATACCGTCCCGGTACAGGGCGAGGTTACGCAGGCAGGCATATGAGGTCATTTACGCGATAGACATTCTGAATAATTATAGGCTAAATGGCAGGCGCTTTATGAACCACGTGAGGCGAACGGGGCATTTCCCTCCCCTCATCTGCCCCTCCGCACTTTGCCCGAAATGTCCTGTTTAGCCCGCCTCAGGCGTTCATATAGCGCGACGCGAAGAGTGCTGCGCGAAGTCGTTGAGCGGAAAAAATAAGGGGGAGAGGAGAGAACCCTCACTCCCATCCATCCCCCCCCCCCCCCCCCCCCCCCCCCCCCCCCCCCCCCCCCCCCCCCCCCCCCCCCCCCCCCCCCCCCCCCCCCCCCCCCCCCCCCCCTCCCCCCCCCCCCCCCCCCCCCCCCCCCCCCCCCCCCCCCCCCCCCCCCCCCCCCCCCCCCCCCCCCCCCCCCCCCCCCCCCCCCCCCCCCCCCCCCCCCCCCCCCCTGGGAACGTGGGTGTTTCCCCCCCCTCCTTCGCCCCCCCGCACTTTGCCGCAAGGTGCGGGTTTAGCCGCCTTCGGGGGTTAAAAAGAGGGAAGGGAAGGAGGGGGGGGCGAAGTGTTTGGTGGGAAAAAAAAGGGGGGGGGGGGAGAAACCCCCCCCCCCTCCCCCCCCCCCCCCCCCCCCGCCCGCCAATTTTCCGGACATCTTCTTTGCGCGCGCTGTTCCAACAATCTGAACTTCTGGACCAGGCTATGCTCCGTTCGCCTTGGCTCATGAAGTGCCTGTCGTTAGGCTAATCTGAATGGTTCGCTGACACATTGTAAGAACGCTTTTTCCGTTGACAATTGAAGAAGAGCGACAAAACAATAACAATAAAAAGCAAGACTGTTATGTTATGTTAAGGTTTATTTTCTGTCAGCGACGAGTTAGAAAAAAAGTTACAAAGAACGTGCATTGTTGGAATAATTTAAAAGTCCCAACATATTCTGGGTCTCAATTGTACTCTTACACCATTTTAAAAATATTAAATTTGCAACTAAGGACCAGTCTTTGAATTTATTATCTCGTCAACTCTACTCATTTGTTTCTTTGTTTAAAATTTTTACCTTCTTTTTAAAAGTTCAAAGCGGCTGCTTAAGTTTAGGGTATAATCGGAAAATATCATAATAAAAAGAAAGTTGACAGGTTGACCGTGGGATCGACAAGCTTAACAACATATTCGCGTATCTTTAAAGGAAATAGCCAGGTTCTGTCTAGGATTTAGTTGTTCGCCCCTCCCCTCAACCAAAATCGGGGAGAGAGTCTCTCTCTCCCTTTGTTTGAGGGAAGGAGGCGGCTCTACACAGGCTAACTTTCGAGAGCTCGGCTACAAATCGTAATTTCATATGCTGCTGTTAACGTTTCAATCAGCTTGTTTGTTCTTCAAAACGCCGATCGTTGTAGACTGTTGCAAGTTCAATTTGAACAAGGCGATGTCGACACATCAGGAGTTCGTCGCCATGACTCTAACACGGCTCTGTTCAGCGAGGACTCCTCGCTTTGAGAACGAGGCAGAGGCGAACCTTCACTTGTTCCCACGGGACTTGGGCACCAGCTCCGGGGTTTGGTTGCGCGGAATCCTCGCATGTGACTGAGAATTGCGTCTTCTTCCGTCGGAGATGAACAGCTTAGATTCACCTGCACAAAAGGAAAAAAAAACTGGCTTTAAGAATTTCGTTTCCTGCCGAGTTAGTCTGATAGCGTATTATTTCTAAATTATTACTAACAACCTATAAAGCACTCAACGGATTAGCACCTGCCTACATTAAAGATTTGCTAAAGCCATACGTACCAACTAGGACCTTGCGATCCTCAACACGGAACCTACTTGAAGGACCATCAGTTAATTTAGTTACCTACGGCCAAAGGTCTCTCTCTTTGGTAGCACCTCAATGATGGAACACACTTCTAGAGTATATCATTATCAGAGTTTAAAGCCAACATTAAGACTTACCTTTTCGGGAACTAGGTTTTTTAGCCAGTGTAATATTTAAAATATCTAACCATACATCTTTTAGATGTTACCGCTTTAATTTTCAGGGATTTCGTGTTTAGTGTTTAGCAGCTTAGAGTTTTTAAGTAACTTGTCGGGTACTCTTTGTATTATCGTTCGATGTAAGTTTTTAATTCATTATTTTTCTTTCTTATGAATTATGTAAAGCCCTATTGAGAGTTTGGAAATAGCTAACGCTATATAAATAAAAGTTTATTATTATTATTATTACTATTTATTATAGTCTGCCAGAAGTCTAGCCCGTTCAGAGACCCTCTATTTTCTCTTTAAAGATCGTCGAGCGCGCACGTATAAAATAAAAACAGCGGGGGAATTCATTTATTTATGGGGTCTTTGTATTATCCATGATTCACTGCAAGCGCAAGGGAAAAGAAAAGAAAACAACGTCTGTGTACAGGCTAACAGCAGTCCCCCAAGAAAGTCGCGCTAGCGACCATGTTATTAGAGTTTGTTTATTAGCTCTCCTGTTCTGCAAAGTTCCGACTCGACCGACTAAAAAGATACTTCTCACAATATACTCCTGGAAAAGTGTCTGGTTAGACTTTGGTGCTTTAATCATCCATCACAGAAAAGTTCTTCAAATTATTTCTCCTTTGTGTGCTATAGTAGGAGGGGGTAGGGCTATATCGTGTGATAACCGTTGCCTTTTTCGCACCTTTTAGGGGCGTAGCCAGCCTATAGACCTGTAGGCCCGGGCCCGCAAATGTTCGGTTTGATCACTCTATCGCTTGTAATAAATTATGCGTTGTTGGGGTGAGCTAAAAAGTATAAGAGTTCAAAGTGTTGGTGAGGTCAGTGCGTACTAGTCATGCGTGCAATTTTTGGGATATGTGGAAATGAAAGTCAGCCAGGCCTACAACTAGTAGAAAAGCTGGCTACGCCTCTGCCTCTTGACTGTAAATTTTCCTTCTATTTGTTCCATCCAGCAAGTCACCATGTGGAGAATTTTGAAGTCAGGTAATGTCGTGAGACTGTTCTGTCGTCGTTTCAGTTTTGTACCCTTGAAGGCTATTGGTTTTATGAGTCTCTAATTAAAGAATTGCATGGAATTCATCAGCTTAAGGACTATTTTTATCGCTAGCGTTTTATCACAAGTTCCCTTTCGTTTATTGGAGATTGCGCTAATTGATCGTAATTGCGTCTATTAAACCTTATCTTGAACTAAACAAAGAGAGGTTGGACGGTCTTTTGAATAAAAAGCTAATTCGGCACGAAAACATTTGTGGCACGCAATCTTTTTCACAAGAATTTATAATCGGGGCAAAGGCATTTAAATGCTATGATCCCACTCAAACTCTACGACGTCTTGCCTTGAAACGACGAAATAATCTGCATTTTGTGGAGAGCGGATTTTTAGAAGTGTGTTTTTGATGTCGTGAACCTGAGATCAGGCTGTCTGAATCACGCTTTTTCACGCGTGACCACACAGGGGCATCACAATCATAAAGTATCACTAACAGTTGATCAGGACGACGAAAAGGTAGCGTCATGAAACCGGAAGTGAAAGTTCAAAACAAAAGCGAAGAGATTCTGCGCTGCCAACCAACTTCACGCAAAGCAAGGAGTTTGAACAAAGGCGTTTCGCACGTCAACCAGAAATGAGGCTTTTGCCCTTCCAATATGCCTTGACGCTGTCAAATTTGTATTGCGAAGTTTTATACTCTTGCAGAGACAATTTTCCCGAAAATTTGCGCACAGCTACTGCTTAAAAAGAATGCAGAAAGTCCACTTCAGGTTGACGTGCGCTGCTCAAAAATGTCCTTACCTATTAAAACCTGCTATTGAAGCTCCCTATTAAATGTTTGAATCTAGCACATTGAATAATTGATCTTTATGTTAGCAGTTAATTGTACGTTTTCAAACCGACTGAAACAAATGGTAGACAAGATCATGTGAACAGTATTAAAATATTGTTATTTTTTTAATCTTTTGGTGCAGTCTAGTTTCTCGGTGGTGCTAGCTTAGCATTCCGGTGAAATAAATTAAAAAAACTTCGAAAGTACTTTACCTTGTCGTTTAAACAGTGAAGTGTATCTTTCCTCACGTACAAGTATCGCTTGTTGCAGTTGCTACAGTACCTCTCAGCGATCTCATCTTGGTATTTTAAGCTTCTCAACCATTCAAGGATCTCCTTCCTTTCTGGATCATCGCTCTGCAATTCTTCTCTTTTTTGCGCTTTAAGAGATTTTGTTTCACGGAGCAGCTCGGCCACCTGCGAGTTCAAATCCTCGATTTGATTTTGCAAAGTTGCTTCCTTGTAGACCATGTGAACTCGGTGCGAATCTAGTCGAGATTCCATTTCCTGTTTTAGCTCCCGGATTTTTGCTTCGTTTTCTTGTTGATTTTTACGCAGTGCTTTGCGCAGCTCTGCTATACAATTATGCACCGATTCCTCGTTCTTGCTCACTTTCAACCCACAGCCTTTAGCACACTCGGCAGTTTGGAATTTGCATGTTTTTGAATGCGCTTCTAGCTCACGTCTGGTGAATTGTTCTTGGCATCCTTCGTTTGAACACGAAACCAACACGAAACCGCAGTCCTCCTTTAAATGCGTTTTGAGCGCGTCCAGTCGCACCAGCGACTTGCAACCACGAGACTCATTGTCGCAGCGTATTTTTAACGCGTCTAAGTCGTTTTTCATGTATCTGAAAATGGGCTTCAAGTCGCTCGGCCACAGTGGTAATCGATCTTCCGGGCAGGTGTTGTAATGCGTGAGCCAAGCGTGGATACAAGACGAACAGAAAGCGTGTTCGCAAGGCGCTTGCATTGGATCTTCCAATACATCCCGGCAAATCGAACATAAGAGGCCCTCGTTTACTTTCCCTGAGAATCTTTCGATGTCGAACCCCATTGCTGACTCCTTCCGTGTTCAAAGCAGGATCGATCCTTTTGTCACTGGTTTTCGATGCGTGCGGCTATAAATACATACACAAGTTTGATCTTTGCGAGACACTAACCGGATGCTGGTCCAATATGAGAATATATTGTCGCCAGTCACGATAATCCGTCAATAAGCCTCGTTTTGCTATAGAGGCAATATCTTTTATAAATTCTAAATACGAAAGCTGATCGCTCCTAATGGTGGATGTCGTGTGTCGATATATTAGACTGGCTGTTAACGTGACCTTTCGAGAAACAGCAAGGCGTTAATCACATGAAAACATTTTCAATGTTCGCGGCTCTCTGCTGGATTCGCCTCTGCCAAATGGATAAACCCGCCACAAATTTTTCTCGTAGATCGTCCTTGCCCTCTGCTTTTATGAAGACTGAATTCCTCGATGGATCTTACCAGGATCTATCTAAAAACAAAAATGAGGAATATTCTCGTGTAAAGCACTCTGGATTCTCTGGTATTGTTGCGGTTGATATTGATAAATAAAAATAGCAATAGGGATATGTTTCTTTTTAAAAAGCGTTTCACATCTGAATGAAATCAAACCCGCGAATGACACGATATGTATCAACGATCCGGAATATTTATACGAACCTCGCTGTGAACTAATCTGCGTGATGTTTTTCTGACGGCCTCCTAAGTATCTTCACAGACCTGTAGCCTTGAATTCCTTAAACTGTTTGCATTGACAACAATTTTAGAATCCTTCTCTGTGTCCAATCTCCTTTCATACCAGCTGCAAGCCTTAAATAAAAAACACTTATAATATTATCCCGCAACATAAATATACATTGAGTCTCGTCAAACATATAAACACGATGTGTTGGTGTATTTACATATTTCATTGAAGATAATTGCTTTAGGGGTCAATTGTTTACACTAGCGATGCTCCCATTTGAACTATCTCGTGTTTTAAACTCGAAGCGAGTTTTGTTCCTGCCAAGAAATAATTCCCTAGTCGCAAGACTGAAAAATGTGAAGGATTTATAAAGATATCCGCTCTTCTTTACGTAATTACCATCGACATTATTGACATCGAAGATCATAAAGCGTTTGTAGTCCTTCGGAACAAAAGAACCGCTTGAGCGTCTTAATTTATTGTTTGAGAAAGTTTTTGATGACACAAAACCCCCGCAGCTATAGAGCGACGCTATTATTTAATATTGTACTTTGCGGGGTGTTCTGAGCGAAAGAAACAACAACTTACAAGAGTTTTTGTAAATTTAAACTTGCTCAGTCTTACGTCTTTTGTCTTTTTTAAGTACAGTACACGATAACGAAAACTGACTACATCGCAGCAACATGTTAACAAATGCAAACTAACTCCAGTAACTAGAAGTTTATTAGTAATAACTAGGCTTAATTCATTTGTCAGTTCAAAGCAACAAGCAGATTCCAGAAATGGTTCAACTAATTGGCAAAGAGAACGGATGTCCCGAATCGAATAATAAGACGTCTTTGGTTGCGCTTTGCCGCTAAGACTTCACTTTTTTTATCTGCAAGTATTAAAAAACCAAGAAAACAAAACTGACGAAGCTTTTCCTTGATCATATCTTCTACGACTCTAGACTAAAAGAAAGTTTCAAATTGTGGTTTTAAAAAATAGTGGCCTGTAGTAAAGGACCTTTACAAGTTTTCTTTCCTTTAAATGGTTTTATATTAAAATACGTTTAGAGATAAGTTATTGTCAAATATGGAGGCATGCTGTCGGGAGCATTTTCAAACAAATTGTAATTGAACTGTCCTCATGCTAGATAAGAACTACCCCGGTTTTTTGGCCAGCGGGTGGTTCATGAATGCGCGGTTATGCCATTTCAGAGTATCAACTCAGGGAGAACCGGTTATGGGCTCCTGGCGAGAACGGTATGGTCAAATTAATACCAGGTTCTTATGGTATAGTTCAAGTTCATCCATTCTTTGATTCAATTTTAATAGTTCTACACTGAAACCCGGTTAATAGGGACATCACGAGGACATTCCACAGTGTCCATATTATCCGGGTGTTTTATAGATATAAAGACTGCAGAGGGTATTTTTACGACAAAACGTTTGAAAATTTCCCAGCTGTATCGTCCCATGGAAGGGAATCCAAGAAAGTTGATTTCGGATTCCAATCCTTAGTGGGATTCCAGATCCTTGAGATGTATTCCGGATTCCAAAGCCAAGGACTCCCGATTCCGCAAGCCAAATTTTCTCCGATTCCGGAATCCGGATTCCCTTACATGGGGCGAACTGTACCTATAACCCGGGGAGAAGGGGGGGGGGGAGTGGGAGGGGCGATGGTACTCCAGATTTCAAATGAAGGGGATGATTGAATGGGGGCAAAAATAAAACCCCCAAAAAAATCCCCAGGGCTTCCAACAAAACCTAAAAAAATCCCTGGACCAAATATTAACCCCCAAATTTCCGAAGGCCAAGTTTGGTGGAACTTTTTTGGGAGAAATACCCGGCCACGAATCTTCAGATTTTTTAAATACCCCAAAAAACTCCCCACTTAA